TTTTCGAATGGGAGGGTTGAGGGAGGCCGACTGACCCAGTCGGGGATGCTGGGATTGAGTAGGGGGTGCGGTGCACAGGCGGCCAGGCTGGTGGCCCCGGGATGACAGGGGTAGCGGAGTGCTGGCTCGGCGGCGCAGGGTGGTCTTCGCTTCCTGTTGGGTGTTAAGTGTCATCCTCAGTCTTTTCCCTGGCTCCTTCCTTCTAAAAGAAGGTGGCTGGGCAGTAAGTCCGTGGCCTGAGTGTCTTGTCTCCGGGCCCTGATAAACTGTGGAAATGACTTCTTCCAGAGTCCTCTCTGGTTCCGCGGGGGAAGGGAAAGAGCCCTTAAGCTCCTTAGGGTTGGGGATTGCTGGTTTCAGGCCTAGAGTCCACCGGGGTCCGCCTAGAAGGGGCGAGGGCAAGACTGTAAACACACAGAGGTGTACACACCCAGAAGCAGATCTCCAAATTCCGAGGATGACCCTTTCCCCGTGACACAGACAGGCAGAGTGGCTGCAGCGAGCTGAGACACCCAAAGCATCCATAGCACATGCTGCCTACCGGGACCGGTCCTTCCCCTTCAGGACTTGAGACCCTCCCTACAGAAAACATCGGACCGCCCCATTCCCCCTTCCCCACCAGTCTCCTTCACTTGTTCAGGGTTTGGGGGGGGGGATGCTGAGGAGTATTGAGGCCTCTGGGAAGTTTATTCCCGCTGCCTGATACCCCCAGGCAGAGTTTAAAGAGGAAGGGAGGAGCGCGTTGGTGCCCCGCAAGGGCGAGGGGCTCCAGGGATCTCTCTGGCTGTAACCCGAGTGCCCTGGTGCCATGGGAACGGCGTGCCCGGTCCGCCCCTGCGTGAAAAATTCAGAAGCCGCTGGCGCCATGGCCTCCAGTTTTTGTTGGGGGACAGAAGCCGCGAGGGACCCAGCAACTGGTTTGGTGACAGAACAGGGTGCAGGAGGGGAGCCTACCGGGCTCAGGACTCAAGTGTTATTTCGGGGAGTCTGAGCTGGAACTTTCCCAACTCCCGGTCCTGGATGTGAGTCCCAAGTCCTGGGGCGCTCGGGCGTGATGGTGGCGTTCCTTGTGCCAGGCTCCCCTAGGTCTGCCATCCCGCACCCTCCGGGACGCGGGTTCGAGGCTCCCAGTCCTTGGACCACACCGTATGCAGGCGACCGGAGAACTCCGCCCGGACAGGCAAGTTTACCTTGATGCGTGGAGGCTCCGAGTTCCCGCTGCTGCAGCTGCTGAGTACTCCGCTATTCCTCGGCCTCGGTACGCAGCCCCTCGGGCCTGTCCCGCCCGGTCCAGAGCCACCCCGCCCCGTGCGGCCCCGCCCTGTCAAGGCAGCCTGGTCCCCGCCCTGCAGACCTCCGCCTCCGGTCCTCCCCGTAGGGGTGGCAGTGTAGGAATGGAGTGCCAGGAGAGGGAGTTTATTCCTGGGTCTGTAAGTCCCTCTGTGTCCACCTACCGACTACACCAACTTCAGCCCTGGACGGAAGCCTCTCAGGGAACTTGGTCGATGTTCAGAGCCCCAGGTTCCACCTTTCAAGGGAGGCCATGCGGGAGAACTGGGCTCCGAGTTCAGAAGTCTGCATTTTAAACAAACGCCCAAGTGATAACTGATGCAGATAATTCCCAGAACACCCTTTGAGAAGCTCTGGGTGGAGGGTTAATTGTGAAAAGGGGTCTTGGAGGAAGAGCCCATGTACTACTCTACAGGGGAGACTTCGGAATGTCTGATTCTGATATCATTAATTCCCTCATCATTCACTTGCTGGTGATTCGCAGGGACAAAAGAATCTGTCTTTTAGTTTACTGTCCCCTATTAAAAAAATACTTTAAAAACATTTATTTTGCGGGGTGGGTGGGCAGGGAGAGCTTGCCAAGGCACCTATGTAGATGGCAGAGGACAACTTGGAGAAGTTGGTTCTCTCTGTCTATGGATATGGGGGATTGAATTCAGGTTGCCCGGCTTGGCAGCAAGTGCCTCTACCTACGGAGCCGTCTCACTGGCCCTGTCTATCCATCAGTTAGTTATTCATTTAAACCTTTGTAGGCATGTGGGAACAGGAGAGATACTGATCTTGGCAAAGGAAAAAGAAGCTGACTGCAAGGCCAGGACTCCAGCTCTTTCGGCTAGGAGCCCCTTTAGTTCTTGAGAGGGTTTAGGTGTGCGTGTGTGTGTGTGTGTGTGTGTGTGTGTGTGTGTGTATGTGTGCGCTGTGGAGGCCACACTGTACCTGTGGGTGAGGCCTCCTGGTCGTGGTTGAGGGACTCCAGGTGCCTGGGTTGGAACAGATCCACCCAGCAGGGTATGCTGGCTCGGCCCCCTCAGTAACAAACTCCCTCGGGTCTGACTCCCTTCCGCAGCCTGAAGATCAGGCTCTGCTCTGTTCCAAGTTCCAGTAGGACAGTGGCTTCCAGGTTGTGCCTCGCCTCGGGTGACCCCAATTTACAAAGTGGCCGTTGGCTTCATTTTGACTGCACCTGCAGAGTGGCCTGTAGACACTACCACCCATCCAACACCACCCACGAGGTGGAGACCAATAGACAATTTAGTCTTATAAGGGAAAAAGCACCTCTATTAGCGTGTCAGTTCGGACTGGTCCCATCTAGGCTCATTGGGGTATGAAGCCTGCAGCATACATACAGAGCACCGAATTAGTAAAGGGCACAGCACCCTCTCTGGACCTCACAGAAGGATGCAGCCATGGTACCATCCCCACAGACCTGTCACGTGACCACTTGCTCTGTGTGTGTGTGTGTGTGTGTGTGTGTGTGTGTGTGTGTGTGTGTGAGAGAGAGAGAGAGAGAGAGAGAGAGAGAGAGAAGGGACCAACAGATCTCCTAATTATCCAAAGCTTCAGCTCAGCAGAGTCTCCACCCTTTGCCATGACCTTATTGTTACCATTCATCCATCCGTTGTCCATCTACGTATGGGGCCAGACTGGTCCTGGCTGCCTCTCTGGCTGCAGCTCAACCCTGTGTCCGGACTCTGTGAACTTCCAGGGGCTCTCCACTTGTGATGTTAGTATGTTGTCTAACCACTGGCAGTGACTTCTATGGTCCTATGTACCCTCTGCTTCCACTAATATCCCTTGACCTCTGTGGCTGCTTTAACCCCTTGTAGCTCTCTCTAACACACACACACACACACACACACACACACACACAACACATACACACACACAAACACACACAGCTATAGACCTGTGTAGACGTGTACATACTTGGAACTGTGTGAAGTATAATGTTAATAATCGAGATCAGAATAAAAGACTCTGAGAAAGCCAAGGGCCAGTTATCAAATCGGGACTGCCTGGTAACTTGCATCCAATGAAAAGGACATAGTCGATATATTTTGGCACTGGGGAAAGACATAAATGTGATTGTGCTTCTAACAGGTAGCTTTGCTGCCTCAGCCTCCCTGTTCTACCTGCAGGCTGGGCTGTGCTGGACTAGCACCTTCCACAGTCTGAGAGTGCAGTGATCTGGTTTCCAGACCCAGTTCTGTTAACTCTGTCACCATGGGAGCTTACGCGAGTCAACTCCCCTCTTTGGGTTTTGGTCTCTTCATTTAAAATTGTAATCTGCCTGCTTCTGAGGTGCACATCTGAACTCCAGCACTTGAGAGCTGAGGCAGGAGGATTGTGAGTGCCAGTCAGCCTGGGTTACATAGTAAGTTCTAGGCCAGCCTGGCTGCATAGCATGCCCCCCGCTGCCAATTTAAGCAAGCTTTTATTAAAATATTAAATACTGACCAAGAAGAAATTTGTCAGGACCACCTTCTGGAAGCTTTCTGGCTGTGTGGCCTCAAGGCATGTGTTGGTGGGGCTTCTATGGGCAAAACCCAAAGGGCCTGGCCCTGTTTTAACTCCCAAGGAAAAAGTAACCAGAGGTAACCTTGCTAAGACAGACAAGCAGATGAACATGTTTTTGTCTACGACATGGAAGTCTGAACTCAGCATTTAAGCCATCATGGTGAGTAATCATCCCGGGCCTCTTTTAAGTAGGTCTCGCTGCTGGGACCTGCACTTTCAGGCCTGTTCTGCTCCCTGTGCTGGGGATGCCCTTCCCCTTCTCATCTTTCCTGCTGTAACCTAGACGATTAAATACCAGACACAGTGCATGTGTTATCCCAGTGGCTCTGTCTGGAGTGGTGGCTTAGAAAGCCTGGAAGACTTGCATGGCTTTTGATTCAGAAATTTGGGGTACGGCTAAGGAGCTCTCATTTCTCTCAGGTAGGGTTTGTTGCTCCGGGCACTATGCTTTGAGATCCTCTTTTCATTCAATGCTCCAAAGGTAGTTATTGCTCTCTGTGAGTAAGTGTTCTTCCATTTTCAGAGTAGAGGCTGGAGAGATGACTCAGTTGTTAAGAGCACTGATTGCTCTTGCAGAGGACCCCGGTTCGGTTCTAAGCACCCACATGGTCTCACAATCATCCCTAACTCCAGTTCCGGGGGATCTGTTCCCACTTCTGACCTCTGCAGGCACCATGCATGCACACGGTGCACATGCGTACACGCAGACAAAACACATAAAATGAAATGAATAAATCTAATAAAAAATTAAAAATAAGGTAATCATGTTGTAGGTGGCAGTCTGGGTCTCTTCCAGGTTGGGTGATTTGTTTAAGGTCTCGCGGTGGTTAGGGAGTGGATTAATTACTTCTGTCATTGTTGAGATGCAATCCCTGACTGAAAGAGCTTAAAGGAGGAAGGCTTGCTTGCTTCACAGTTTGAAGGTGCAGCTCATTAGGGTAGGCAGCAGGAGTGTTGCATCTTTGTGTGTCGGGAGGGAAGGGAGGAGGACAGGATGGAGAGAGGGAGGATACTGGTGCTCACTTCGCGTTCTCCTTTTTATTCTGTCCAGGATGATCCCAGCCCATCCAGTGGCTGTTCACATTGAGGGTGAGTCTCCCCACCTCCATTAGCTCAACTAGAAACTTGCTCACAGGCATATCTAAATGTTGGCCTCCGAAGTGTTTCTAGATGCTGCCGAGTTGACAGTCAGTATTCACCATCACATGGGAAGATGCCGGCCTTTCTCAAGTGTTTTCTTACTCTCTCAGCTGGGAAGATTCATCTCTTCTTCCTCCCCTGCTCCTCCTCAATGGACCCAAGGGCCTTGCAGCCTCTGGAGGATGTGGCTGACTAGTCCACGCAGAGCTAGCCATGAGAGAGCTAAACAGCCTTGGGACCACGTGGCTGCCCCTCCCACCTGGGCTTGCTGCCCTTGACTCTGCAGCCCATAAAAGCTGGATATGCAGCAAGACTTTATGCTGGATTCTTCTCTGACTTGGTCCCGGCGGCCTCCTCAGGAGCTTGGTGGCCATGGCACAGTGGATTCTGCTCATTGTAGCTTTCCTGGTCCTGGGTCATGTGCCACCAGGTAATCGTGTGTGTGTGTGTGTAAATGAATATTAGGCTTCCAGGTCCAGGAGGCCAGGTTAGTGTTTAAGTTCTGGTTCCACTGTGGGACAGCATAAAGCCAATTGTTTAATCAGTTCCCTAATCTGTAAAATGGGATTCACTCCACAGAAACTCATTTGAAAACTATGCATTATTATGATTTCTGGAGGCTTGTGGAAAGAGAAAACAGGCAGACAGATAACCTGTCAGGTGGCTACAGATATAAGAACATACAGGCAAATTGATTGTTAGTAGCATGTGGGGTCGGATGGATTGTGCTGGAAGGCTCTGATCAGCTCTTTACAACTTTTGAAGATTTATTTTATTTCCCTGTATAAATTACTCTGTGTGTGTGTGTGTGTGTGTGTTTGTGTTTGTGCAAGTGAGTGTTCAGGTCCACAGAGACCAGGAGTGAGCATCACACTCCATGGGGCTGGTGTTATTGCCTTGTGTGAGCTGTCTGATGTGGGTGCTAGGATCCAAACTCTGGTCCTCTGATAGAGCAGTAAGTATGCCTAACCACTGAGCAATCCTCCCAGCTTCTAGAACCCCTTTTGTTTTGATCTGAGCATGATAGTACATACCTGTAATCCCAGGTCTTGGGAGAGAGGATTGAGAGTTCAAGGCCAGCTTGGACCTCCTTAGTGAGCTTGAGACTCTGGCTTGAAAAATAACAAAATATAAACTAAAAATGAGAGAAAAATTTTCAAAACTTCTGTTTTGAATAAAAATGTAAAATGTGCATAGACAGAGAATGATGTAGCCAGCAGGTAAGGTTGTCTTTTCCTTCCTCTGTTTTGCTTGATGGTACTGGAGTTGGAACCCAGGACTTCATACCGGTTAAATACTTGTTTATGCATTGATCTATGCCCCTCTCCCACAAAGTGAGTTTATTACAGACACATTTAGCACGTGAAAAAAATAGAGAGTAACATGGTGAAATGAGTTTTGAAAACATTTATTGTAAGACATTTTAAGCGGAGATAGGAAACCGTTGAAGAGCCCGTGTGTGCCCATCATACAGCCATAGCGCTGTTTCCTTTCTCATTGCCCTACCTCACACTATATCCTTTTGTAGAAGGCAGGTTTGAGCAGAACTCTGTGTGAACAGAGGATCCAAGGAAGGCTGTTTCAGACCATGGGAATAACAAGCGGCAAACAGCGGAGGAGGCCAGTGTTGCCGGAGTGGGGCACACACAGGAGGGAGACAGCAGCCCTAAGCCACAGACACAAAGACCTGAGAGTAGATGAACGGCATACTGGGTAGTAGAAACCCCAACTCTGAGCCCTTGGGAAGGTCAAAGGGTGTTGACCGTAGGGGAGAGTTCTGTTTCTAAACCTATCGTAGCTCAGTGGTCAGGGACAAGATCCTTTCTCTATCTGGAAAGTGAGGGAAATGCCCTAGACTGGATGCTGGTAGCCTCGACCACCTGAGTTTCACCCTGATAACCTCAGTTCTTGCTTACTGACCATTTACAATGTGCCTGGTTCCTCTGAAGGAGAGTGACATAGATGAAGAATCCAAGGCCAAGGTCACTCGCCCGGGAAGTGACAGAGCCAGGGTCACATAGCATTGTTCACCTTTAGTCCCGCACCATCTTCCCAGGCCAGGCTGTGACGCCTAGAGATTGTGAGACCATTTCTGGGTCTGTCTAAGAGGCTCTGCTGGGCTGGAAGGCAGGGTTAGCAGGGCTAGTAAACCTGTCCACAGGTCTGGCAGCATCCTCTGAGGTCTTGAGGGATCTCTCAGTCTAGGAAGACGGAGGGACGTCTTCCCTTCCTGCCTCCCACTCCTGGTTCTCTTCTCGCTTGAGGTCACATGTCTGGAATGCGCTGTCCCAGGCAAACCTGAGTGCTCCTGTTTCTCCCTCTTACCTACTTCTGCTCCAACTGGCCACCACAGTATGCTGGTTCCACGGGGCGCTAATGCTGGTTCTACGGGGCACTTACCACAAGCTCTAAGTATTTGCTTCATTTTTGATTGCCCTGTCTGCACTTTCATTTTAAACTGTGCTATCCCCGCTGCTCCATAGTTGCTGAGTGAATAAATGAGAGGCTCCATCCATGCCATGGCCCCCAAATATAAGTTCCCCAAAGCCTTAGCCTTTCTGTGAATGGAAACTCTCACACTGAAGCCTGGCATTAAAGAGGTTCCTTTGTGCCAGGGAAAGTTTGTATAATGGAGGCTTTTTTGGCTTTCACTCTGATTTTGCCTTGTGACTATGATGGTTTCATTAAGGTTATTGACTTCTGTGAGTCTTCATCTCTCCACCATTATAAAAGGGATTGAAACGAGACCAGCTGCAATTGTATAGTGCTGTTAAGAGAAGAACAAGGGTGTACCTAGTGGGTGGGTACTTTTACCTGGACAAGAAGTTATTCTTTTAACCAGTGATCTAACCTGTGGCTTACCTAGAATGAGATCTGTAACCTCCATGATAACCCAATGCTCTCATTTATGACTTGTGCTCTAACATCTGACCAGAGAGCTAACTTATCAGCAGCATGGCCCAATCTGTAGTCCAACTTGTGACTAGGGGTCTAATCTGTGACCCACAGGCTACTCTATGATCTGTGGTCTTCCTCCACACAGGAAGCAGTGAATTCAAACGGTGCTGGAATGGCCAAGGGGCCTGCCGGACTTACTGCGCGAGGCAGGAAACCTACATGCACCTGTGTCCCGACGCATCCCTGTGCTGCCTTCCCTACACGTACCAGCCTCCGCCGGCCTCCAAGACCAGAGATGACTAACCTGCGCTAGCGCTGGCACCCTGCTTCACAATAAAGTTCATGCTGCTGGCTCACTCTGTGTTCTGCGTGCGTGACTGTGTCCCTTTCTCCACGGAAGGGGATGAAGTCGAAGGTGTGGGAGGGATGACTGGAGGAAGTGGTGCCGGGGAGAGTGGGCGCTCATGATCAATCTAATTGTTCCTGTTTTGACTAACTCCAGAAAATTGATTTGTCCTCTTGGCCTCCTTGGGATAGTCATCCGCACAGCAGGGAGAAGGATGCTGGCTGGCGGGTGGGACTTTGCAGAAGGAATGCTGAAGCAAGGCAGAAGGGTGAATAAGGGTTAATGATAACTTGTCAACAAGAGGCTCCAGCCATCTAAGATGAGATGGTGAGTTTGGCTTGAAAGGCAGGCAGCCTGGCTGGGAGGGGAAATGTCTTCCTCTTTCTTCATCTACTCATTGCTCAGACTTCAGGAATCTGCCTAGGTAGGTAGGGCCCTAAGGACTGGAGTAAGCAGTTTTCCTATGGATAGAAAGAGAACACAGAGGAAAGTTCATCCCTTCTGGGATGGGGACTGATGATGCAGGAAGGTGGGAAAACACCCCCTGTCCCCCGCAGAATTAGACAGGTACATAGAGAGGCACAGGGTTCAATTCCCCTCTACCTGTCATGGCTGTGTTTGGATGGAAAAACAGGAAGCTCACCTTTTGGCAGTGGATCCCTCCTCACTATGAAGGAATCTGGAGGCAGGGGATGTGGTTTTGTGGTTTAATGCTTGTCTAGTGTATGTGCAGATCTGTGTGCGATCACCAGTACCCCAGTAACACACACACACCTGTAGCACTATTAATAAAAACTCAGAGACAGATATTGGGGTTCAACCTGAAGGTCAGAAAAGCCAAACATCCAGCCACTGGCTCTTGCCTCTACCTCAGACTGAAATGGTGATCCTGCCTCCACAAATCCTCAGAATGAGACTGTATGAGAGCTGTCTCCTCCTGTCTTATATTCCTCTCTTGTGCTGGGCTTAAAGGCATGCACCACTACTGCCCAGTTTCTATGGCAAACTAGTGGGGCTACTGGCATTGAAGGTGTGTGCCACCACTGCCTGGTCTGTAAGGCTGACCAGGGCAGCTATTTTACTCTCTGATCTTACTAAAATACAATAAAATATCACTACACACAGCCGCTGCCGCCACCACCACCACCACCACCACCACCGTTCTACAATCCCATTTTCTTGGGTCACTATACAATCACCAAGACTTCAGGGCCCATGTCCTCAATTAACAGTCAGGACAGCCCTCCAACCTGGTCTAGATAACTGGTCACTGAGAGTTTCATCCCAGCTGATTTCAGAAAGCACAGAGCAACCCGTGTTCCACGCACACCCTCAGATGTAGCATGTGTGACTTTGTGACCCTGCTGTAAAGCATCACTGAGAGTGGGGGTCACAGAGGCTCATGTTCTCCTCCCAGCCATGCCACAGATCTCAGACTGTGCGACCCAGGGCAAGTCACTTCCTCAGCCTGTGTGTCAGTCTCTTTGCTGCCAAGAGGAAATCACCACAGCCTGGAATGGGGAGGCTGGCAGAGGGTGTCAGGGTCAGAGATGGTGGCCCAATGCTTTGAAAGCGCCCAGTAACATAAGCCACTGCAATCCGAGCCCAGGCCAACCTGTCTGCAGAGTTCTCTCACAGAAAAGCCTCTGGGATAGTGCAGTTTCGGTGGTTCACCAGATGCTGGCCGTGCTGCATAATTTTATGTCAACTCGACACATCTGAGAGAAGGGAGCCCCCAATGAGAAAACGCTTCCTTGAGATTGGTCTATCGGCAAGCCTGTAGAGCGTTTTCTTAGTTAATGCTTGATGGGGAGGGCTCAGCCCATTGTGGGTGGGGTCATCCCTAGACTGGTAGTCTTGGGCAGGCCGAGCAAGCCATAGAGAGCAAGCCAGTAAGCAGCACTCCTCCATGGCCTCTGCATCAGCTCCTGCCTCCAGGTTCCTGTCCTGTTTGAGTTCCTGTCCAGATTCCCTTCAGTGATGGGCAGTGATGTGAAAGCATAAGCCAAATAAACCCTTTCCTCCCCAACTTGCTTCTGGTCATGGTTCAACAACAGAAATCCTAGCTAAGGCAAGTTGTCCTGACTGTGTTGTCAGGGAAGGAGCGTGAATGGACTTTGGATCTTTGGGTTAGAAGAGCCATTGAGTGTTGAGAGCTCAGTGAACCGTTCTGTAGAAGCTTGGAAGACACGCGTGTTGTGAGTGATGACCATTATCGCCCCAGTGTGCTGAGGGATATAGCATCACCTGGGAAACATTGACAAGCCAACCCCCTGCACAGAACATGAGTAATCACTTCACTTTAGTTCCCTGAAAAACTAATGAGCACACTTCTAGGCACCACAGACTCCAAAGTGGTTATCATGAGATGGGTTCGTGTGACCGGGCACTGAAGTTTTAGATTCAGCTATTCCTATCAGAAGATGTATGTGACATTGTTCACTTATATGAAGCACTAGCCAAGAGGAAAATGAAAGGCTTAGTGATCATAACATATCTTAAATGGAGGAAGAATAGGGAACAAAGGAAGGGACCCACTCAAGACTGCAGGTGACAAAGGTGTGTTCATATTTTAAAAGTATGATCTTTCAGGTGGCCCTTATTTATTATTTATTTTATTACTTATTTATTCATTCACTTAAATAAATAAATTTATTTATTCATTCTTTTAAATAAATAAATTTATTTATTTAGATGCTGGCTGAAGTTTTCCCTCCCTCTTCCCTACTTCTCTCTGTTTCCACCCCTCAATCCATTTCTCCTGTTTAGGGAAGGGCAGGTCTCCCATGAGTATCAACAAAACATAGCATAAAACAAAAGTATACAGACAATTTTATTTTTGTATGTACTAGTGTCTGTTTATTTCTTCTGGGCCTATTATAAAAAATTACTTGTGGGGAAATAGGTTTTTATAAGCTAAATTAAAAACAGGGGGAAAAGCCCAGGGATTAATAACAAAGCAATATTGACGATAAAGGCAAGAACAGTTTGAGTGATTATGACGGACTAAACACAGCTGTGCTAAATGGAAGAAAAAAAAGACTGTTGAGAGCAGGTGCAGACGGAGGCCTGGCAGTGGAGTCTCAGAGGGAAGGCAAAGACTCTACCAGACCTTTTGTGTGAAGGCAACTCTGTGACTGGTCAGCGGAGGGCGAAGAATCGGCTGTGATTAACAAGAGACCAAAACCTTTACTTTGCTGGGACAATGGATGCTGATTAGCTGGGGCTGAGGAATCACCCGTGATTAGGGAGAGCCGTATCTCTGAGGTGAAATCTTCTGGGAAGTGTTTTCCGAGAGTAAGCACATGGTCGGGGATCTCGGGGATCGATGCTGTGGGCCAGAGGCTGCCACAGTCGAACACCGTGCTGGCACCTGAACCAGTAAGAGTCACTCATGTAGTACTGGTTGTGAAGGCATGAAGGGTCGTGGAGATCAGCTGAGGCTTGGCACTGTGTGGTAGGGCTGGATGGAGTCCCTGAAGAAAGCTCAGGAGGAGCTATTGGTGAAGGGCAGCCAGGTGCACAGAGACCCCAGCAGTTTGCAGATGCCGGTGCCATAGGGTGACCACCAAGAGCAGCAGCAGTGGTGGAGTGGAGCCATCTGGGAGCCTGGGAGACAGCTGTGTGTACTGCAGGGGTGGAGCCAGAGCTGTCACCCAAAGCCCTTGGGAGGGGCCCATAAGACAGTGAGTTAATCCCAGATATTGGATATGGACTTATTTACACATTAGAGTTTGGTTTTGCTTTGTTCAGATTGCAATTGTGCCCTGGTTCTTCCCTTTTGACGAAAGAAATTATTTAACTAATTATTTTTATTTTCTGGGAACCCACAGCTGAGAGACTTTGTATTTTAAAGGTATTTTGGAGTTTTTAGTGTTTGAATTTTAAAAGGGTTTAAATTTGTTAGACGATGGGACTTTTCAGTTTGAAAATAGTTTCTATTGTGATGCCAATATTAATGTGTAATCTTGGGGCTGGATCAGAAGGAAATGCTGCGGCTTAGCAGTGATGTGGCTGTCAAGTTGACATGCGGCCAGTGGTGTCGGCTAGTTTCATGTCAACTTGTAACAAGTTAAAGTCATCTGAGAGGGGGGAACCTCAATTCAGATAATTCTCCCATTTTCTACCTTTGCCTCTTGTGAGCTGTTGGCTTGTAAATTTCAGGTGTGGTGTCTTTTATTTCACCCTTTTGGTTGACTTATGTAACCACAGAGAATGTGATTACAACCAACTGTTAACAAATGGAAGAGCCCCCATTGTTTAGTCTTCAGAGGTCGACCTAGATTTCACGGTCTGGGAAAAGAGAACACCCGGCTGTCAGCCCTCATATTTCTTTGGTCTCCTTGCCCTGAGTCTAGCAGTGTCTGGGCTAGTGATGCAGCTCAGTTTATGGAAGGCTGGCCTATCACGCAGGAAGACGTGGGTTCGATTCCCAGCACCACATCAGTTGAACACTGATTATGTATGAGGGTAAGATTAACTGCAGAACAAGTTCAAAGCCAGCCTGAGGTAAAGGAGTCACCAACATTCGTCACGTGTCCGGCAGGTTGGTTTATGGAGTGACCTTTGGTTTGAGTGCCTGGTGTTTACTAATGACTGAATTGGACACAACACGTATTATTAGCCAGAATGTTCCAAAAGTGATGTTGTCTCTCAGTGGGTCATATAAGAGAAAGCCACTGGCCTTGCAATGCCTGAAGCCATAGCAAATTATGTGGTTTTCTAAACCCTTTTCAATATTTTATTTTTTAATTTTAAAATTATTCCAAAATATGTGTGTGAATGTGCATGAGTGAGTGTGTATGTGGTTATGTGCACATGAGTGTGTGAGTGCTCTTGGAGGTCAGAGGCATTGGGTTTCCTGGTCTAAGAGTTGCAGGCAAAGGGAGTTGCCTGATCGGGCTGCTGGGAATTGAACCCTGGTCCTCTGGAAGAGCAGTGCGTTATCCTAACCACTGCACCACCTCCCCTGCTTATCATAGCACTTTGGAAACAATGTTTTTTTCTAATTGTTTAAAAACTACACTGTTTATTGTGCAGAAAAGCAAATAAAAATGTGTAAAATGTGGTTTAAAAAAGCACGAAGCCAGGCAGTGGTTGGCACCTTAAATCCCACTCAGGAGGCAGAGGTAGGAAGTATCTGACTTTGAGGCCAGCCCCAAGCAAAGCGAGTTCCGGGATAGCCAGGGTTACACAGAGAAACCATCTTGAAAAACCAAAAAACAAACCAACCAAATAAACAAAAAACAAACAAACAAAAGCCCCCAAAACCCCCAAAATGGAGTCAAGCAGTGGGTACTTGGTGTCCTTGTATTTTTGTTACTCCAGAGAATTTCTGGGCATGCTTACATATTCTTTCCCTTTTTATTTTTTAGAGACAGTCTCTCTATGTAGCCTTGCCTGTCCTGGAACTCACTGTAAGACTAAAACTGACCTTGAACTCATAGGAATCCACCTGCCTCTGCCTGCTGAGTGCTGGAATTGAAGGCATGCACCACCACACCCAGCAAAATTCTTTCAAAAAAAGATGTTTACTGCTAAAATACCTCCTAAAGTTACTTTAAGGTATTTGCCTTTTCTAACTTCAATAGTATTTGGAAGCATTTCAAGGGCAATGCAGCCCGCACCTGTGAGCTCAGCACCTGGAAGGCTGGTGCCGAAGGATTGTGAGTTCAAGGCCAGCCTGGGCAGGTTCGTTTGAGAGGCTTTAAGACGTCATGCAATGGCCAGATTGAGTGTCATGGGAAGATACTGCCCTCTTGTGGTTTTTTGGGGAATCTACTAGGCACATTTTGAATGCAAGGGGGCACTAGAGCTAGGGATCTTAGGAGGCATGCAATGTGTGTCCAGGAGAATGAAATAATGGTTTATTTCCCAGACTTGTAGGTGAGGAATTCAAACGCAAGTATTTCTTGACAACTGAATGTTCCTGGAACAAAACTACTCCTCAAATCACAGGACCATTATCCTTTGTTCTGGGAGATTCTTTTAAAAATGTTTATTAATTTTTATTATTTATATGTTTGAGTGTTTGCTTGCATGAATGTCTATGCACTGCATGAATGTAGGCACACACAGAGGCTAGAATAATGGCACTGGATTCCCTGAACTGCATTACAGGCCATTGTAGGCTGTAGGGAACCCAACTCGGGCCCTTTGCAAGAGCAGCCAGTGTTCTTCATCACCGAGCTGTCTCTCCAGCCCCCAGGAGGTTCTTCCTCACTACTACTTACTGCTTAAAAACCTTTTTACTTATTTTATCTGATGTATGGGAGTGTTTCTCCCATGTGTGTCCGGTTCCTGCAGAGGTTGGAAGAGGGTGTCAAACCTCTGGAGTTGGAGTTATTTCTTCGGAACCCCTCTGGTTTGTGAATGGAGGCTCTCTAAATGATGAACGTCTCTCTGAGCACTATCTTAACTGTCTTACAAAGGCTCTGCTAAGGTACATTTTCATTTGATTCTAGGGTAAAACCTTTTTCTTCCTTGATTTCTTCAATGACCAACCGATCATTGAAGAGTGCACTGCTCACTTCCCACGTGTAGGATCATGTCTCTTGCTATTGACTGTAGGGATCCTGGAAAGCCCTGAGTGTGTGAAGTCCTGAGTGGACGCCCATGTGGGCATGGACACAGCTATGCCAAGGACCGAGGCTTCAGACCCGTGGGAAACTGGCAAAGCCTTTCCCCATATTGGCGAGGCTCAGAATTGGCAAAGCCTGCTTCCTCTGGTCCAAGTGGAAGTGTTTACAATTGATCAATGTGTGCAAAAACTAGCAACTGCAGCTCCCCTTGGCTGGATGTTTACAGCCTGAGACTGCCAGCCTGGGAGACTTTCTCTGAGACTAGCAAGCCCCTGCCAGGTGCGTCCCCCAAACACAATGGTAGTTGCAGTTCCATTAGAGCACACATCTCACTTGACCCCAGCTTTTCTGTCTGTGTGTCTGCTCCTTCTTTGTTCCTCCTCAACTTGCTTTTTGGTCAAGGTGTTTCATCACAGCAATAGAAATTCCAACTAAGACAATATTTAAAATGCTGTATAGACACATCTTCCCTTCGGTGATGGTATAGTTTCTCCAATTAGGCAGCTGAAATGCTTGTTAATACACTTCTGCAAATCAAGGTGATGGAGGACTCTTATGTCTTACGCAAGGAAGGTCTCAGAATTTCAAATTAATGATTTTGAGGTCACAGAGGTTAATTAATATCAAAGGTCATTTGTATGAGGGCAGTGGGATTACTGAGTCAACCTCTGAAAATGACTGCACGTTAAGCCTTCTACCTAAATAATCCTAGAAATACAAATGCACACAAGCACATCTCTGTTAGCTGCCCAGTGGTTGTGTCATCCAATGCCTCATGGATTCGAGAACATTCCACCATTCACCCATGAGAGACAGAGATGTCACATATTTATTATGATGGTGGTTATTATAGTTTTGACTTCCCAAACCTGAAAATCGCTAGTCTAGGCAAGCAGGCTACACAGGTGTCGGCCAGGTGCATTTATTGACTGAGCACAAGAGCCCATGAGCTCAACCTAGGACAACTTTGCCAACTGCATTCTCCAGTCTTCAGGGTACTTAAAACATCCATGGCTTTGGCTTGGGCTGGTACTTGGGCTTCACACAGCACATCCTCCCGTTTGTGCAGTAGACATAGACACTCTCTTTCCTGGAGCACCGATGGCGACACTTGCCATGGAGGTTCCAGCATCTCTGAGCATCGCCTGGTATAAAGGAGAGTGAAAGGAGATCATGTAAATCCTAAGGAGACGGTGGCTCCGGGCTGGAGGAGCTGACACGGGTGGGAAAGACCCTCTGCTTCCCTTTGACCCCTCGCACCTACTGTTGTCTTTCTGACCCCATTTCTCCCCTACCTTCTTAGACCGTGAATCTAGACCAAATGACAAAGGATGGAACTTTGGAAATCTGCTTTTAAAGGAATGCTGTACTCAGCCCGGGATTACATGAAACTTGGTCAAAAACAAAAACAAAAACAAAAACAAACAAACAAACAAAAAAACCACAAACCAAGAAAGAAACAGAGTTCTGATAGTCACGAGAGGAGACAGCTGCACCAGTTACCACAGAGAAGGGGAAAAGATAGAAATGAGGTCCAACTGTAGGCTGTGTGGGGTGACATCGCTTGCTGCCTGAAACAAAGCAAAGGCTCCATACCCATTCTCCATGAAGCACCCGTTACTCTTTGACCTACAGATGCCTTGGTGTCCCTGAGATGAATAACATCTTTAAGGTCCATTTGAAGCATGGGTTTCCTTTTGACAAGACTGACTGAGGCCCAGACATGGGGAAGGGAAAGGGAAGCCTTTGAAGGGGAGGCACGGAGTTCCAGCTCCTACACCCTCGGCCACAGCCTTGCCCTCTCTGGCGCTTTCCTTAGAGCTCGGAAGGAGAGCAACATTTCCAGCTGTCACCAAGGAAAGAAATGACAACAAATGTCTGCCGGAATGTGAGAGAAGAGGAACTCTTGTTCACGGCTGGTAGGAGGGAGAACCTGCGCAGGCATTATGGATTTCAGTATAGAGGTTCCTCAGCAGGCTGAAACTAGCATGGCCATAGAACCCACAGGTAATGCTCCTGAATATGCTTAGGGCCTTTACAGTAGTCTGTGCTATCAGAGATACTCGCACATCTGTGTCTATTGCTGCACCATTCACTATAGCCAAGATATGGAATCAGTCTAGAATTCCATCCACAGATGAATAAAGCAAGCGAGGTTCATGTGCACAGGAGATTGTATTCAGCTATAAGTGAAATGAAATCATGATTTTTTTTTAGGAAAATAGATGGAGCTGGGGATTATGATATTATATAGCTCAGAAACAATGCCTCTTTCATGTATAGAATCCAGACTTAAATGTATATATGCACATATGTGCACTATAAAAGTATTAAACATTCTGTGAAAGTATTACATGTGCACATGTATGTATGCACAAATGTATCCATGCACATATGCATGCCATGAAGATAGAAAGGGGACCGTGAAAGGAAAAGATGTCTAGAGGTGGGAACATGGAACAGAGAGGGTAATATAGACACAAAAGCAGAAGGAAGGACTATGTGGGGAGGAAGGGGAGCAGCCAGAGGGCAGAGGGGAAATCAGGGCATAAAGTGGAAGGAGAGACTCAAAATATAATACAGATGCATGGAAGTGCCGCAGTGAGACCGTGTACGGGAGTGCCGCAGTGAGAAAGTTAATAAAAAAATTAAAAAGACTAACAGCAGCTATTTTAATCAGCATTAAAAACTTCAGATGGGACCAAGAGAAACTAGAAAAGAGGAGAGAAACAAAACAATACAATGAATCAAACAAACAAACAAAAAAGCCCACATTCCCACACTGTGCAGGTCTCCAGCGGGAACCCTCCTATCTTTGAACACTCATCTGAACATACACACAAGGAAACTATCAAAGTTCGGGGAAGAATCACTGAGAAGAGGCAGGTGGAACTGTCTTCAGGACAGAGAATGTCCTGTGTGTTCACCCACCAAAGCCAAAAGACTTTATAAAGCCTGTAGGGTTTAAGGGGCCAGAGGTTAAGAGCACTTGCTGCTCTGTCAGAGGACCCAGGTTTGGTTCCCAGCACCAATGAGACAGCTCACAACAAACTGTAACTTCAATTCCAGGGGATCCAACAGCCTCCTCAGGTCTCTGCAGACTCAAAGAATGTATACGGTGCACAGACATATGTGAAGGTAAAATACACGTAAGATAGAAACAAAAACAGTCTACTCAGGGTAGATGCAGGGACTTGGACAAGGGCAGTCTACAACTTCCCATCACACGGGTATAAACTCACTAGACACCTCTGTTGAACAAAGGGTCAGAATGCTGAGAAACCTGGTTTTCTGAAATAAAGACCCCGATTGACACTTTGTATCTGAAATCCTGTTCCTGGGAGTGGACCATCCCATAGCTCCCCCAAGGAATCAGGTTTCCCAGCATAGAAAAACAGCTTTGACATCCATCAGTGCTGAGGAGGTGCTGAGGGGCAGATGAGAAGTTTTAAACAAATTCTCCCCCTCGCTCACCCCCTCTCCTTTTCTCACGCCCTATTTTAATTTGGGTGGACAGGGATGCTGACCTTGCACTGCCTCGCCTCCCAAGTGCTGGGATCACAAGGCGTGTGTCAGCCTGGGTCTGAATGTCAGCCCTTTACAAACCGCCTGTGGTCCAGCCTTGCTTGGGAGCCTCCCCAGCATCGTTTATGCTACACTTAAGCCTCATCCTTCTTCTTTTCCTCTATACCCAGTGGTTCTCAACCTCCCTAATGCTGCCACCACCCTTTATTACAGTTCCTCACGTTGTACATGAAATGCTTGTTCCACAGGATTATTTCATTGCTACTTTGTAACTGTGATTTTGCTCCTGCCATAGCAAATAATGTAAGACCCAAAGGAGTCAAGACCTACAGGTTAAGAATGTTCGTCATTGGGTAAGCTGTTGCCAGTTCCACTGACCCTTAGGGATGCAGGGTCCTTGGCGGCAGGGTAGTGTGGTGAGATTGCAGGGCTATGGGGGGAAGGTCTTCTTAAAGACGGACGGACATCACACAAGTTACTAGGATATTTAAAATAAAACTCATGAGTCAAAAAGCCCCGCCCCCACTGAGGATGGGACAGTTGAGGTCACTAAGAGCAGTGTGGTGGTGGCACTCAGGAGGCAGAGGCAGGCGGCTCTCTCTGAACTTGAGGGCAGCCTGGTCTACAGAGTGAATTTCAGGACTATACATCAGAGGAATACTGTGAATTCTACCCTGAGTGTGCAACTGGCAAATCCTCATGGTGGGAGGAAGCCGGCCAGTGACCAGCTATTTCAGGAGAACTTGTAAGGACAGAGGGATGAAGGTCAGGGAACTATTAAAAGGCGTATTTTAAAAATAGATGCCTGTCAGCCGGGGCTACACAGTGAAATCCGGTCTCGAAAATCAAAAACAAACAAAAAGGTGTCTCGGGATGTCACCTTGACAACGAGTGTTTCATGAAGAAATGAAAAAGAAATTGGTCGCTGTTCAAGTCAGGACACTTAGGGGAGGAAGGGAGCTGCACTGGGGTGTGCGGGGGGGGGGGGGGGGGGGGGCGTCACAAGGACCTGTCCTTGGCAGCATTTGCTGGCAGCCTATTTGCTTTCTGTAGCCGTGATTCTGCCTTGTTTCACAACAAAGATAAGGAAAACCCAGCATTTGAGATCTCATAAAAAAAATATTTGTTTTTATTTTATGTGTATGAGTGTTTCTGTCTACATGTATGTTATGTATATGTACATTTGTACAGCAGCTGCAGAGGCCAAAAGAGGTGTTGAACCTCGGGAACTGGAGCCACAAATGGCTGTGAGCTGCCGTGAGATCTCAGTTTTTAATGCAAGCATGACAAGATGAACCACCATGTTGTGTGTGTGTGTGTGTGTGTGTGTGTGTGTGTTTCATGAACGCAGAGGCTGGAAGAGAATGTGGGGTGTTCTCCATCACTTCCCACCTCGTGACTTTGATGTGAAGATCTCTCTGAGTTGGAAATTCACCCTTTGGCTAGCCTGGCTGACTAGTTAGTCCCCGGATCTGTCTCTACCTCCTAGCACTGGGGTTATGTGCAGCCCCGTCTGGCTCTTTATGTGGGAGCTGTGGATTCAAACTCAGGTCCCCTTGCTTGCACAGGCAGTGTTCTTCCTCCCGGAAGCATCCCGCTAGCCCTTAAGCATTTAAAAATTACATTTATTTATTTATTTATTGCTTGCGCACACCAAGGACAACCTGCGGCAGCCAGTCCTCTCCTACCACGAGGGGTTTGGCGCTGAAGCTCTCAATGTCAGTCTTGGCAGCAAGTGCCTTGACCCGATGAGTCATCTCACTGACTCTGTTTTATACACTTTTGAGTAATGTGCATTTCGGCCCCCTTTCATCATGAGACCCTTTGACTGTTAAGAGGTGGAACTGAGTATAATCTCTGTCCTGTGGGGCACCGGAGAACAATGGTTAGGATGCCCGTTGTCAGCTTAAATGAGTTGTTTCAGGTCATAGCAAGGCCATACTTTCAAGAAGCAAAATTTACCAAGAAAAGTCCAGGACTAGGTAAAGCCTGTTGGGTTTGCACAAAGTCACCTGACTGTGAGCTATAGGAGACGAAGGCCGAGGGTGACCAAGGTATGAGGCTTCCACACAAGGCCTCTCACCCGCTGGGACTACACACACAATGTCATCACGGTCATTAGAGAAACATGCAAACAACCCTCTGAACACTGGTGAGGGCTGAGGGCTGCCAGGGTCACAGGCAGACAATGGTGAGCCACTTGCCAACTTGGGCTTTTGGCTTTTCTTTCTCCCTTAGATAAAGGGCGTTTCAGGGTCACAGGAGGAAACTGAGGTCAGCTTGTTTAGAAAAATAGTATGTACTGATTCTGGAAAGTTCGACAGTCCTGGGGTAGACAGAAGCTCTGCCAAGTGAGTGGAGGGGGCAGGTAGCTGGTGCATGTGTGTGTGGGGGTGGGGGTAGGAAGGATAGGGGTGACCTTCTCCAGCTAAACTCTCCTATGGTGCTCACCTGGCCTCTCAGGCAACTTCAGGCTGCTTCCTCTCCTGCTCCCATCACTCACTCCTGCCTTTGCACTGGGTCCCCACAGGCTGCATGCTCCCCCCCACCCAGGGATGCTACTTACCCTTATCCCACACCTTTGCCTCTCCACCTCTTCCCCTCTCTCACCTAATTTCAAGTCACTTTCCAGGACTCTGCTGACCTCAGGCTAACTGGGCCCTACTCATGTGTACCCAGTTCCCTGGCTTCCCTTTGTCATAGTTTTGGGAGTTTAACTGTGTCTGAGGTCTATGCCCCTTTCCTCCGTAATCCTGGCTCTGGCACAAAGCATGGCACAGAGAGAGGGGAGATGCACACACCAGCTTCTGTGGCAGCGGCTTTTACTAAGCCTAGAACATTCAGGGGACTGTTTTACAAGGGATCATTTGTTGCCTTCTCCTCTTTGGCTGCTTCTGTCCCCACACTGGCCCTTTGCCCGCCTGGTAGAACCGAGGGAGCGTGGCGTGGGTGATGAATGAGATAGATACTCAGGATGTTGTCGTTGGTACCTAAGATCAGGTACCTGGCAAGGGGGCTGGGAATGGTGACGGCTCCGAGACCCTAGGCAGCTGCTCCTCCTTACCCCTGGGTGTTCGCTGACAAGGCCAGGGTATCCCTGCCCGACCCCTTCCCTGAGGAGATCTGCATTACCTGGAGTGAGCTGGGACAGGAGCAGCAGGGTTGCCAAGGTCAGCAGCAGGAGCTTCATGGTGGTGAAGCTTCGCGTTCAGAGTGGTGGCAAAGTCAATGGCCAGCCGGGGAGGCCGAAACTCTCTGGCTGAAGTCCCTCGGATCGCCAGGAGCAGCCCACAGGCACGGCCCTGTACCCCGGGTCTACAGTGTGGAGCCACACCCACCGAGTCCACAGCATCCCTTTGTCTGTTGGACCAGGAGGGTGGTGAGGACAGCCAAAGTCCAAGGCCACACAGCACAGGCCTTCCCCCACCAGCTTTGCACCACCTTGTCCAAGGCACCACAAGGGGGCGCCACGCACACGAATACCATCAGTGGCTACCAAAGACACTGGCAGAGAACAGGAAATGGGGTTCCAGGCAGGGCAAAGTCTGGTCAAGGGTAGAAAGACACAAGAGGAACAAACACTGGAGGGTGGAGAAGAGATACCAACTCACTGACAGCACATAAGGCCGCTCCGAGCTGCAGCCAAGCACAGGGTTGATATGGGCTCAGGGGTGAGCCCCTTCCCCGGGGATTCAGGAAGAGATGTTCCCTGCGCCCTGGTCTGAACGTTCATTCTAGTTTCTTTAGCTCCCTTAGCTGAAGCAAGGTGGCTGCTCCTGCAGTTGGTAATACTCTCTTCAGGGTCCTCGTTTTTCAACCTTCCAGCAAAAGCAAACAATTCCTGCCATTAACTATCTGTCCCAATTATTTATGCGAATTCTTCTTGACTGGACCCTCCCGATATAGAGGTCAAGTGAATCAAGGCGCTCACAGAGCTTACACGATAAGATCGTGACTGAGCCATCCTGAGAGACAGGAAATAGTGGATGGGCTGCCAGAGATTTACATAAAGGCAAATGAAAGCATGTGTCAAGTAATTCTTTCAGGAATGTTTACAAGGAAGAGAATAAGAGAGGGTCTGGGAAGGGACCCAGTGACCAGCCCTACAACTGGACCACGGTGGCTTGCCGCCTCTTACTTCCTGTGAAGTTTTAGTTGGAGGAGAGCCCCTATCAGCTTCATAGAATAAGGAATCTATGGTAAAATTAGTCTCGGTTTAGTTGTTCGAGGACCTGGTCAAGCAAGGACTTGACAAGGAACAGAGGGGGTATTAGTTAATTTCCAGGGGTAAGGGGCCAAGACTTGAAGCCGCCCTAGGACTGCGATGAGGAGGTGCAGGACGCTGGGGAATTCTTGGCTCCACCGCTACTGATGTCTGTCTGTGGCGGTCACTGAGAAGTGGTTAGCGGTGAACCTGGCTCCTGGGGTTACTTTGGTCAGCAGGGCTGGAAGTCCTGCTACCAAAAAGGGAGAACTGAGGAATTGCTGAAACTTGCCCCTTGTCCTTACCTCCTCTCACCAGCGGCAACTTCCAGAACACAATGACTGCCACTTCTGATGGCTGCTGTCACCAGAAAGCATTAAAAATGTAAAAGTTGGAAAACTACAAGGGAACAGACCAAAGCACAGGTAGCGTGTGATCTTACCTTTTCTACTTATCTTTTCCTCTAATAGGTGCGGTTGTTTCTTGTGGTACAGTCACAGTTCTAGCTACAGCCATCTGAACTTTGAATTCACTGGCACCTAGAAGATTATTCAGCAGAATCTCAGACAGCCCAAACCACACCTATTAGAGGAAAAGATGAGTAGAAAAGGTAAGATCACACACTACACTACAAAGAGCAACACAAAACCCGTAAAACCTGAAGACCCTACAAAAGCAAGACCTGAACAACCAAATATGGATGAACCAGAAGAAAATGGCCTAAAAAATAACTGCAAGAGAATGTTTGAAATTCTTAAAGATGAAATGAGAAATTCCCTTAAAGAAATGGAGGAAAAAACAAACAAAAAATTAGAAGATATCAGCAAATCACTTAAAGAAATCAAGAAAACCAAGAAAAAGAAACCAAACATATAAAAGAAACTATTCAGGACTTGAAAACTGAGATAGAAACAACAAAGAAAACACAAGCTGAAGAAATTATAGAAACAGAAAGCATGAGAAAAAGATCAGGAACCACAAATGCAAGCATGAACAGCAGAATACAAGAGCTCGAAGAAAGAATCTCAAGTGCTGAAGATAAAATAGAGGAAATAGACTCATCAGTTAAAGAAAACACTAAATCTAACAAAAGCTTAACCCAAAATATCCATGAAATAAAGGACACCATAAAAAGGTCAAATCTAAGAATAATAGGTATAGAAGAAGGAGAAGAAGTTCAACTCAAAGGCACAGAAAATTTATTTAACAAAGTCATAGAAAAAAACTTTCCCTACTAAAAGAAAGATACACATATGAAGATACAAGAAGCTTACAGAACACCAAATAGACTGGATCAAAAAAATAGTCCTCTCACCATATAATAATCAAAACACTAAACATGCAGAGTAAAGAAAGAATATTAAGGGCTGCAAAGGAAAAAGGCCAAGTAATATATAAAGGTAGACCTACCAGAATTACACCTGACCTCTCATTGGACACAGTGAAAGCCAGAAGGTCAAGATCAAGCATTATACAGACATTAAGAGACTACAGATGACAGCCCAGACTACTATACCCAGCAAAACTGTGGATCACCATAGAAGGACAAGACAAGATATTCTGGGACAAATTTAGATTTCACCAATACCTAGCCACAAACCCAGCCCTACTCAAAATACTAGAAGGGAAACTCCAACCCAAGGAAGATGGCTACACCAACAAAAACACAAATTGATGACCTCACAGCAGCAAATCCTAAAGAAGAAAAAAAAATGCACAAATTAACATCACCAACAATGAAAACTAAATTAACAGGAGATAGCAACCACTGGTCATTAATATCCCTTAATGTAAATGGACTCAACTCACCTATAAAAAGACACAGAATAACAGATTGGATACGAAAACAGAATCCATCTTCTGCATACAAGAAACACATCTCAACCTCAAAGACAGACATCATCTCAGAGTAAAGGGTTGAGAAAAAAATATATCAATCAAATAGACCTAAGAAACAAGTGGGTGTAGCTATCCTAATATCTAACAAAATAGACTTCAAGCTAAAATCAATCAAAAGAGACAAAGAAGGTCATTTCATATTAGTCACAGGAAAAATCCATCAAGAGGAAATTTCAATAGTGAACATCTCTGCCCCAAATACAAGGGCACCCTCATATGTTAAAGAAACACTTCTAAAGCTTAAATCATACATTAAGCCACACACACTAATAGTGGGAGACTTCAATACTCCCCTCTCACCACTGGACAGGTGAATCAGACAAAAAATGAACAGAGAAATAAGAGAACTAATAGATGTTGTGACTCAAATGGACTTAACAGACATCTATAGAATATTCCATCCAAACAGAAAAGAATATACCTTCTTCTCAGCACCTCATAGAACCTCTCAAAAATTGACCACATACTTGGTAACAAACCTCAACAAATACAAAAAAAATGGAATAACCCAGTATACCTTATCAGATGACCATGGAATAAAACTAGAAGTAAACAGCAATACTAATTCCAGAAAACCCACAAACACATGGAAATTAAACAATGCTCACCTGAATCATCAATGGCTCAAGGAAGAAATAAAGGTGGAAATTAAAGACTTCCTAAAATTCAATGAAAATGACCACACAACATACCCAAATTTATGGGACACAATGAAAGCAGTGTTAGGAGGAAAATTCATAATACTAAACGACTACAAAAAGAAGCTAGAAAAATCCCACACTAGTGAATTAACAGAACATTTGAAAACTTTAGAACAAAAAGAAGCAAACTCACCTAAGAGAACTAGATGGCAGGAAATAATCAAATTAAGAGCTGAAATCAACAAAATAAAAACAAAGAATCAATGAGACAAAGAGTTGGTTCTTCAAGAAAATCAACAAAATAGACAAACCTTTATCCAAACTAACCGAAAGGCAGAGAGAGAATATCCAAATTAACAAAATCAGAAATGGAAAGGGGGGCACAACAGCAGACACGGAAAAATTAAAGAGGATCATCAGGCCATATTTTGAAAGCCTGTACTCCACAAAATTGGAAAACTTAAAGGAAATGGACAACTTTCAGGATAAATATCACTTACCAAAATTAAATCAAGACCAAATAAGCAAATTAAACACACCTATAACTGCTCAAGAAATAGAAACAGTCATCAAAAGTCCCCCCCCCAAAAAGCCCAGGACCAGATGGTTTCAGCTCAGAATTCTACAAGACTTTCAAAGAAGAACTAATACCAATACTCCTCAAATTATCCCACACAATAGAAACAGAAGGAACATTGCCAAACTCTACAATTACCCTAATATCCAAACCACAGAAAGATATTACTATGAAAGAGAATTACAGACCAATCTCATTCATGAACACGGATACAAAAATACTAAATAAAATACTGGCAAATCAAATCCAAGAACACATCAGAACCAACATCCACCATTATTAAGTTGGCTTCATTCCAGAGATGCAGGGATGGTTCAACATTGTAGAATGAGGGCCGGCTTGTTGGGGTTTCTGTCCCACCCGGTACCCCACAGCCGGCAAGTCCCAAAGAAAATCTCACAGCGTCTACATTAGGTTATAAACTGATTGGCCCATTAGGTCAGGCTACTTATTAGCTCTTATAACTTATGTTACCCCATTCTCCTTATCTATGTTAGCCACATGGCTTGGTACCTTTTTCAGTTGTCAGCTTACATGTTGCTGCTTCGGTGGTCTGCGTGGGAGTGCAGGGAGCTTCCTGCTTCCTAGAATATTCCTAGTCTCTTTGCTCCACCTCTACTTCCTGTCTGGCTCTCCCACCTATACTGCCTCCCTGGCCAATCAGCGTTTTATTAAAATATGATTGACAGAATATAGACAATTCTCCCACACCATTTCCCTCTTTTTTTTTAAAACAAAGGAAAATACCCTTAGTCCATTTGTTGGGAATGTGGACGTAGTATTTCAGGCTACTTCCTGCTGGTTGGGGGCACTGATGATCTTATGGGGACCTAAAGAAAATTTAGAGTTATAATCAAGGCCTGACTGGAGTATCCTGTGAGTCTTGATCATCTCAGGCAGCAGTCTTGAATCTGTTCTGGATGTAGAACTCTGTCATCTGGGCCATCTGTTCCTATCAGAGATTTCTCAGGTGGTCTTCCTTTTTCGAACCTGATTTTTCTTAACTC